ACCCCCTTCAGATTCACATACTCTGACCCTCTGTTGTGTTGTGTTGTGGGCAGGGAGGCATCCAACTGAGGGGGATTTTAATCAGATCCCCCTAGCCCCAGGTCACTATTGAGTCTGTCTCTTTAAAAGCCGGGAGTCTTAGTTTATTATCTTACTAAATCTATGTTTATTCTACTTCTGTATGAACAAATACAAGCCTCCTCTGTCACCTTCATTTTAGTGTCATTTCTTAGAGAGTCAGGGTGAAGCCAGGGACTCAGTCTGTCTTTCTGCCTCTGTCCAGACCCCTGAGCCCCTGCACATACCCTTGCTATTTCTTGTACCAATGAAAGAACAACAAATACAGATATCACTGAAGAATGCACTAATTGCATGCAGCCATAGTGCAAGGGGACCCTGCCAGGGGCAGCCACACTGAGCCCAGGGTGTCAAGTAGAGTGGCCAAGGTCCTTAATTCCTCAGCCCTCCCTCTTTTCCCTGTGACATCTAGGTTTCCATCTTCCAGGGACACCCCCAAGTGGCGTTTTGCTTCTTTGTGGTTAGAATCATTCATTCATTCACTCACTCACTCATTCATTCATTCATTCATTCATTCATTCATGCATGCATGCATGTTATTAAGTGTATACTTTGGACCAAGTTCTGGACTTACATTATCTGTCTGTCTGTCTATCTATCTATCTATCTATCTATCTATCTATCTATCTATCCACTTGCCTGTCCATCAAAGGGCATCTGTGGGTTTCCCTGGCTCTAAAAATTCAGTCTATCCAAGTTGTTTTCAGGCAGTTCAAAGCCAAGAGCACCTGTGAAGAGTCCTTAGGAGAAGATGAGAAAGTCTTAGTGAAGCGCTGTGTAGACACAGTGCTGAGTGGAGGGGTGAGTAACGGGCAGGTCATTCATGGCCCTGCACCTGGCTGTGGCTGATGGTCCAGTAGGCACACACCCACTGTTCTACCCAGCTAAGTCTCCTCCATGCCAGGCACTGACATAAGCTGGTAACTAGCTAGGAACAGAAAAGCTGGCCTGTGGTAGGCTGGGGAGCCAGCACCACGCTCAGGGATACTGTTTGCCTGACCTGGGCTAGGTATGGTCTTCCAGTCCCCAATCTACCTCGGAGGGGGTGCCAGTACTTACAGGGTGGGCATGTGCAGCCTCCACACATGACGTGCAGGATCCTGGGTGATCCGTTTCCATCCATGGGGTGTCTCTCGGTTCACTTGCTTGCATTATGTCATTCTGTCCAGTCTGCTCTTGTGTGAGTATACATATATATGGGGGAGGGCCCGCATGTCCAGGGAGGCTAAACTTTTTTGCAGAATTAGACTCTGTGTCCCTAAAAGAGGCCTAGGAATCACACAGAAGGCCCTGCTCCAGCCCTGCTTTTGATTTGTTCCCTGTTACATCTCAAGTACCACCCTTGGCCAGAAGAGGGAAGTAGGCTGGGCCTGTGGGGAGGAGGGGTGCAGGCCGGGAGGGCTGGGCCTCAGGGTTCTGCAGGATTCTGTCCAGGGCAGGTACACCTCTCAGCCCTCAGGGTCCTTAGTATCCCTGTATGCACAATCAGTAGTTGGCTGGGTTGTCCGAAAGATCTCTTTCAGCCTCTGAACCTCAGTTGCCTCCTTAGTAAAATATGTCCAGCAGAAAGAGTCTGCTATTCCAATGCATTAAAATGAGGAAGACGCTTAAGACTGACTGGTAATACAAGTATTGAAATAAATGTAGTATAAAAAGTCTTGGCATGCAGTAAGTGCTCAGCGAATGTAGTGTTTGGTAATGATGATTTTCAAGTTCATTCGTGGGTGCAGGCACAGTGGAGGCAGAGACAAGGTCCTGGTCGTATTGCAGGTGGTGATGGCCCTTTGGACTCAGACAGCAGAAATGGGGCGGGACAGGGGTCCTAGAGAAGGAACCACATGCAGTGTTACAAAGGGATTCACAGCCACGGTCCCAGTGTCTGGAACTTTAGGAACTGAGCCCCGCAGTTGGAAACTGAGTCAGAGGAAAGCAGGCAGCATGATCTCTAACATGCCAGCCACACTGTGTGGCCTCCTGCTTCTCATTGTGGTCCTGGCCAGGCGGCTGCCCCTGAAACCAGAGGCTCCCCAGCCTGGCACGGCACTTCCATGTCCTCTCCACCGTGGGCAGAGCTGGGGCAGCCTTCAATCACAGAGATCCTGCGGTTCAGCAACAAAGCCCACGATGGCAGTTTTTCTGGAGGCGGAAAGATGAAAATCTAGGGGAAAATGGAAATTTTCTTTGCTGAGTTGTAAATTGAGTATGAAGAGTGAGCAGCTCTTAGCATGGCTGCGCTCTGGCACCAGATAGTCCTCCAGAGCCCCGGGCGCCGTCCCTCCCACCTGCGTCCTGCCTGGCTACTGGCTGAGCCCACTTCTTTCCTGCCTGGCTCGGGTCAAGGGTAATGCTGGGTGCAGGGGCTACTAAGTCACCCACAGTCTCGAGGGGAGAGAACCGCCCCAAAGCCAGGCCAGAGCAGGGCTTTCTGGGCCTCTTTTAGGGTTACATAACCTGATTTTAAGTAGCAAAAGCAAAGTTGATGGCATCGATACCACGTTCAGGGCTCTGCTCTGGCAGGCAGCGCTGTTAGGCCTATGGCCTTTTTTTGCCGACCTTTTTTCCTTCGGTTTTTTCAGATGGGGTCTCCTTGTGCATATCCTTGGTCTTGGTGTCCCTCAGCCTCTTCCTTTATTTTTATTTATTTATTTATTTTTAGCATCTTCCTTTATAAAATGGGCCCAAGCTCAGGGAATTGCTGAGATGTGCGGAGTTGGAGTGTTTTGGGGGTTCTTTAGTTCTTCCAGGTGCTGAGGGCCGAGCTGGATCTCAGGTGATGTTTTTCTGAGCTACTAAGTGACTTGCAGTCAGACAGTGGGTGCTCCTCGTCCTTGCAGTGTGATCCTTGGTCCCTGGGGCATGTTCCAACACACTCCAGGCCTTTGTGCGGGACTGCTGGTTGGACGTCCAACCAAGCTTGGTATGAAGCTTTCTGCCCCTTGGGAGAAAGCTCTGGCCCTGAGGAGAGGTCACTCAGCCTCTTTCTGGGGACCCAGAGTATTTGCTTATATCTGTCCTAAAGTGGTTTGGAGCACAGGCTCAAAATACTGTCAGCCTCACATTCAGAGCCCTGATTTCTGGCCTGTAAGAGGCTGGGCATAGTGATCTTTACAAACCTCAGTCTTCTCATCAGTAAAGTGGAATTGGTAATAATAATTTGTTAGACTGTTGTGAACATTAAAATAATACGGCATGTGCAATGTAGAGCAAACACCCGACAAATGTATAGCATACGATAAATGTCCCTTTTTAAATGTATTTGGTTGTTCCAGGGTTTCACTATGCAACTGACTCATGCTGATCCTCCTGCTTTCAGCCTCCCCAGTGCTGGGATTACATGCGTATATCACCATGCTTGGACTCTGCCTGACTCAGCCCGCCCTTGGAGCAGGGCTGGCGCTGCATGTGGTGCCGGGGATCGAACCACGGTCCCTGTGCTTTGCCTAAGCAGGACCTTTAGTCCACTGAGCTATCTCGCCATTGCCAGTATCCTTTGTTATGTATGTATGTATAATATGTGACACAAAATATAATATATTCTTTAGTGTCATCTCTGAGACCTGAGTACTAGTTAGATGTATCAAGTGGCTTTCTCTGATACTGGGTTTTGTGAAAATTATCATCCAAAATTTCTTCTCTTTTTACTTCTTTGCTAGGAATGTGAACTAGGGCCTGGCATCCACTGGGCCAGTGCTTAGCCACTGGGCCATAGCCCCAGCCCCTGCAGTTCAGTGTAGTTGTCTAGTCCTTTGCTTGCTTATATTTTATTTGTACCGAACACTTCCTGTGTCCACATCTCCAATAGATAGGTCATGTAAAACAGCTGCATTTTGTACAAGAGGCGAGGAGAGCCAGGCTCCAGGGCTTTCTGGTGGCCATAGCACTGCTGAGGTTTTGGTCCAGTGCTGATCCACAGAATGTGAGACTCTGAGAGGCCCTGGCCCCTGGGCAGACCAGGAGGGAGGCCGGGGAGGAGCTCTGGCATGGTGCGTGCTGATTCTGCCCTCCTCGCGAGCACAGAGCTGTGGAGTCCCGGGCGCAGGCCTCACTCCAGTGTCCTGCCTGCAGTCTGCTCCTGCACCTGCCATGAGCCAGGTGAGAGGTGGATTCTGCCTCTAGGCTAGCGACTGTTCCTGGGACATTCCTTGGTCACACCAGAAGTCTGGAAAGAGCTGGGGTCCAGATCCTCCCTGCACCCAACTGAGCTAATCAGCCACCCAGACAATGACGGTGGCTCCCCAGGGCCCACTGAGCAGCTTCGGGGCCCCTCTGCTTGCTGTCCAAGCTCAGTGTGGGGCCCACAGGCCCCCTCCCCCGCTGCCTCTGTCCTGTCTCTGAGCTTCGGAGGCCTCTGTCCTCCACGTCTGCTGACCCAGCCCCAGCCTTTCCCGGGAGGCTCCTTTCTCTGCTCGGGCTGGGCCCGGCCGCAGGCCATTCCTGGGCCTCAGCTGGGAGTCGTGCAGCGCTTGGATGTGGCTGGTACTGAGACTCACCAAGCATTTCTCTTTGAGTCTGCCCCCAGGTTTTGGGAATATTTTTATCACTGTAATAAATGTTTGCAGGACACAGTGATTACATTCATGTGTAGAGCTGGCATGTGCGTGTGTGTGCATAACACATCTTGCTTCTTTTTACTTATCTTTCTCTCCTTTTCTTTCTCTTCATCTCTAGACCTCTTTCCCACTTGCAAAATACCTAGTGCTCTGATTTCTGGTATCCTTTATTTTTCTCTTGAAATTAGTTATATTTTTTTTTTTTTTTTTTTTTTTTTTTTGAAAAACGTAATACTGTTTATTTAACTTGGAAAACATTTCAGCATTCTAAACATACAAAAAAATAACACAACATTGCAAATCGTGTTTAAGTACAGAAGCTTCTTGAACCTTCTCTGACTCTTTGCCAATGAAGAGTTCTATATCTTGAAAACAAATAGTTTAGCACTTAACTAAAAAACAAAACAGTAACGAATCCAAACACTTCTCATGCCAGCTGGCCCTCTCAGTCCCCAGCTAAGACAGGGCAGCAGGACGCTAGGTCACCATACACAGAAGCTGATGGGCGCTGCCACAGCCACAGCAGCAACAGGTCGAAGGTCCCTTCTCAGTGGCATCTGCCCCCCCCCCCGGCCTCAGTGCCAGGCAGGAAGCATCGAGGGCTCGCCTGGGTTGCTTTGCTTTTTACAAACTCTAGATATGTACAGTTGGTAACTCAGGGTTTCTAGCCAATGACGTTACAGTTAACACCACCTTACAACTTAAAAAACGAACGCCAGGGACATCTCCAAATGCCTTTTCACAGCCACAGCAAAGTGCACAGAGCGAGGAGAACACAGGGTGCCTTTCAGTTTAAAAATGTTTGGAAATATGTACAGCTTTGATACAATTTCACAGCGTTCCGGACCCCCGTGGCCACGTTGAGCAACTACCGCCAACTTCCGGAGCATTTGAGAGACTACACGATCGCAATCCGGTTGGCATTTAACCTAAGAAACGGTCAGTCACGGCGCTCCCCTACTCTAAGGGATTCACAAGGAGACAAGTTTTTTTTATTCATCCTCCTCCTCCTCTTCCTCCTCTTCTTCCTCCTCCTCCTCTTCTTCCTCTTCCTCTTCTACCTTTTTCCGGGCAACTTTAGCAGGACCCTTTGCACCATCGAACTTTCCTTTAGACTTATAGTCAGCCACGTCCTTCTCATACTTCTCCTTCAGCTTCGCCGCCTTGGTGATGTACGGCTGCTTTTCACTGTCACTTAAATTATTCCACATCTCGCCCAGCTTTTTAGCCACATCACCAATAGAGATACCAGGGTTGGTGGATTTGATCTTGGGGCGGAATTCAGAACAAAACAGGAAAAATCCAGACGGTGGTCTTTTGGGAGCGTTGGGGTCCTTTTTCTTCTTGCCTCCCTTCGCGGGTCCATAATCTTTCATCTCTCGGTCATAGCGAACTTTATCTGCCTTGGCCATTTCATCAAACTTCGACTTCTCTTTCCCAGACATTGTCTTCCACCTCTCTGAGCACTTCTTGGAAAATTCTGCAAAATTGACAGGGACCTCTGGGTTCTTCTTCTTATGCTCCTCTCTGCAGGTCTGCACAAAGAAGGCGTATGCAGACATCTTGCCCTTTGGTTTCTTGGGGTCCCTCTTAGCCATCCTGACTGTATTGTTCGCGAGTCTCGAAATTAGTTATATGTTGAGTTTTCTTTTTCTTTCTTTTTTTAAAAAATTTTTTGCGGAATCGGAGATTGAACTCAGGCCCTTGTGCTTGCCAGACAAGCACTTATTCTACTGAGCCATCTCCCCGGCCCCTCGTTGGGTTTTCTATGTAAGAGAAACCATTTGATATTCAAGCTTGTGTGTCTGATTTATTTCATTTAACATTAAGATCTCAGGGCCAGCCAGAAAGCTCAGCAGAATAAAGCACCTGCTTAGGCAGATGCAACGGACTGAGGTTCGGTCCCCGGTCTATGTTGCTGGCCCCACCCTTGGGGCCCACTGAGCGAGGGACTGAGACTGGGGGTCTTGGTGTGCTCCTATAATCCCAGTGCTTGAGAGGCTGAAAACAGGAGGATCACTACCAGTCCAATCTGCATAGTGGAACCCTATGGACCCTGTACTAAATACATAAATAAAATAAAATAAAACAAAACATTAGGGTCTTGAGGTGTGTCTGTTTTCCTACAACTATTTCAAATTTATCCGTCATGGCAGAGTAGTATTCTATCCTTTAAGTTTGTTTTTGTTTTGTGCTTAAGGTAATTAATTTATTCCATTCTGCAAATGGAAAACCAGTATCATTTGCCAAAAGTTGACAGAAATCATGAATGAAAATGAAGAAGAAAGCTCCATGCTCATGTCACTAAAACCAGAAGCACTGAGAAAATGTCAAGCCTGGGTCTCCTCTGTCTTTTGTTGAAATATTAGAGAGGAGGGACTGGGGAGATAGCTCAGTAGAATAGGTGCTTGCCTGGCAAGTACAAGGTCCTGAGTTCAATCCCCAGTACCGGGGGAAAAAAAAAAAAGAAAAAGAAATATTAGAGAGGAGATAAAGCTAGGACTTGCCCATGTCCTGATCTGAAGGTTGCAAGGACAATGAGGGCGCCCATGTTCCCAGCGTCAGCGTTACTAAGACCATCTTGACTGCTTTCTGAGGTCATCGTGGTTTCTGGCCCTGGCGGGTCGATCTGGTCTGGGGAGATGATCTTAGTTCATCTTTGAAGCCTGATTAGAGCACTTCCTGCTTCCCAAGATGACACCTTACTGTGCTCACTGATGCCCAGGATTGGAGCTGCCCGGCGCCCTCTGGCTTCCCTGGGAAAATCTCCCTCCCTGCTGCCCTCCAGATGAGCGTGAGACCACTGGTGCTGCACCCTGTGGACCCCAGGACACACTGCCGACCACTCAGAGTGCTCAGATGAACACTAGCAAGGCGGAGATGAGGGCATGGTTGGCTTTCCCCACCTACCTTCGGGTGCTCAGGAGGTGGGCAGAGCTGAGTTGCTGTGGGCCAGTGACCAGCAGGTGGGGGGCGCCTGGTGAACACAGCCTGCACCAGACCCTGAGGCCAGACAGGTAAGGCCTATCTCTCTGAGCAGGTGGGTAGCCCTGATGGCTTTTGGAGAAATGGACTTTGCAGACAGCTGTCCTGGCTGGGTCTGGGGCCTGAGTCTCCAGGGTCAGATCTCTAAACTAGGAGGAACTGGTAATGGTGGTCACTGCGTAGGATGAAGGTGAGGATTTAATCCTCACTGGTAATGCTTATGAAATGCTTGAATGCCACCAAGGCTGGCCACAGAGAAGGCTGGGTGACCACATCCCAGGCCGACAAGGTTACAGGCTACACAGAGGCACTGGAGGCTTCCCTGCATCAACAGGCCGTGGCCCGAGGCCAGGGAGAGCTGCAGGTGGTGGCGGAGGAGGTCAGGGTGCAGTGTGTCTGAGGCTGGTGCCCGGGAGCCGTGACAGGGCAAGTTTGGTGTGTCACGGTGATAAGCACAGCCTTCCAAATGTGTTGCCCACCTCCTTTCCTGAAAAAGAGAAAGAACATCTGCTCCCTTGGGGTGCCTAGATGGGGACACGGCTCTGGATGCCACGTGCTTGTGGCCCTGAAGCTGGCAAAGGGCAAGTCTGAACACTTCCCACGGCTGCCCAGACTCCAGGCCGTGGCTCCAACTTCTGCAGCCAGACGTATGCATGGGGCGTGCACTCCAAGGGTGCCTAATCCCAATCAGGATTATATTCTCATAGAAAAGCTTCACCTATACTTAATTGTTTTAAATTGTTCCGGGTACCAATTAGACTTTTAATTTTGCTGTTCCCTCCGGCAACTAGAAGATGTGTGTGGTTTGCGTTTAATCAGAGATTAAAAATAATTTTTTTTCTTGGTGGTTCCGAAGAAGAGAAATTGATGAAGAAACAATTTCAGGGGTTCCTCCTGGTCCTGGCAGTATCGCAGGAGAGGCAGAGGGTGGCTCTGAGTTCAGGGTTCTTTATGGGACAGTGAGGGGCTGCTGAGTCTCCATGCCTTTCTACCCTGTCTCAGCTGGGCTGAAGCTTCTGACGATGCAGCCCTGCCTAGAGAATCCAATGCCGCGTTAAATATATGGATTATCCAAAAATTTCTGCAGCAATAGGGTGAGTTATTATTGATTCACAGAGCACGACAAAACAGCGCTGCATGAATTAGCAAACAGCTGTTTCTAATTTGAGTTTAGAACGGTACACAGAGGAACTTGTTTCTCTGTTCACTCCTTTCATTTATAATGAATTTTAATCACCGCTACAGGTGAGAAAAATGTAGAAACAAGCTTGTATCTTGTGGAAGAAACAAAGGAGAGACAGATGCTAACAGATTTCCAGCCTGTGATAAAAGGGATGTTTTGGTACACTTTACATGTAATTAGAGCGCAGCTGTTTCCAGTCCCAGGTCCACGAACGCGGCCGAATGTGGGCTCTGCAGATCTCCAAAGGGAGTGAAGAAAAACAGTGATTCAACCCCAAAGCATTCTGCTTTCTCTCCAGTTGAGCAAGCGCCCTTTGAGCCGGCCCTTGGCAATGGTGGCGTTTTATGAAGCTCACAGAGATGACTTTTCGGGGTGTCAGTTCCTTGGCAGTGGGGCAGTGGGGCAGGGGTTCGTGCAGGGCAGCCACATCTGGAGGCTGATGGGAGCGCCTCCAGAGCCCCACAGGCGCAGACACCCAGTCTTTGGGGAGCAGGCAGCGGCAGACAGTGTGGGGGCGCCTCACTGGCAGGAGCTGATCTTGATGCTCCTCTTTACCAAGTTTGTTCGCAGCCAGCTCTCGAGTGAGTTGACAAGTACTAGCTTTTTTTATTTTTTTGTTTCCTACTCTGTTTAATTTCTGCAATAAAACTCAAGCTCAATTGCATTTGCAATATCAGTGCTAAGTAAATTTGTCTAAGGGATGGAGCAGCGTGGCAGGCTGTGTGCTCTGCGAGGTCAGAAGCTTCAAGGGGAAAGGCAGGGGCTTGTTCCTCAGTGCCTGCGTCTGGCAGCCCGCGGGAGGGCTGGGCGAGGGTGTTCTGGGAATCTGGGCTGCGGCCCCCCACCTTCCCCCACAAGCCACTGCATGGCTGCTGCTGTTGCCTGGGTTTCTCCAGCTGTCTCAACTGTGTCGGGCGGGTGGGGTGGTCCTGAGAGTTCTCCATCTCTGGTGTCCTGGCATCGCAGGGGCAGGGCCCTCTGCGCCTCGATGCAGGTCGTGACAGGTTTCTTTTGTCATGAGCCCGACTTCTGGTGGTGATGGTCAGTGATGGCGACCCTGTTAGAGCTTTCAGTGATACAGACAGTCCATGGGCTGTAGGTTGACCACCGCCGGCTTAGACCCTCTTGAGTGTCAGAGGCTGTTCAGTTGGCTGCCTCTTTTCTCCTTTCTGACCCGTGGCCACCTTCTGGTGAGCCAGGAGCTGGGAGCAGTGATGGTGCATACACTCCGCGGAACATTTTGCACTCTATGAGTATTCACGTATTTTATCTATTGAACAGCTCAGTAGTTGAGATTCTTATCCCCTTTCTACAGAGGAACTGGAGGCAGAACTCTTCACATGCAAGGTGCAGTGAGGGTAATTAACTTGCTCAGGCCACGCACTTGGGAGGTGTGGGAGCTGGGTTGTGAGCTTAGCTGCGTGCATCCTAGCCTCTCTGGCACAAATGGCTCTCAGGGCCGAGGTCCTGTGTTGAGCAGAGACTCATGGGTCTGATCTGCAGGGTGTTCCTGTTGTTGGGGCAAGAGGGACATGGCCCCACCCATCATCCATGTGCTGGATGTAGAGCTTATGCAGCTACCAGCTTTCCGCCTGCTCCTCCAGGAAAGGCCAGAATAAATGTGGATTTCAAATGCATCTTCATTTCTAAAAGGTGTCACTTTTATGAAATCACTGATAACTGAATGGTCCTTAGAGAGCTCAGGAAGAGGACAGTTGTGACGACCTGTTACCTAGGTCATCATTTGTCCTTGTCTAGCTGGCTAAGGGTCCTGGGTGGGGGATCCCATCCCAGCCTTCCTGTTCACCATCTGTTTTGTGGTGTGAGAATGTGACCCAACCACTTTTCTGTTTCTGGGGTGATGGCGCAGCTTGCTGCACAAGCCCAGCTACTTTGGCGTGCGAAAGGGAACTTTATCCATACGGGGGAGGCTTGGTTCCTTGGTGTGTGGCACCTAACCTGCTTGTAATAGGGTGCTGACAGCAGGAATAAATTGACCTCTGTGCAGAATTGCCACACAGGTCAAATGGGCATAATGGTTGTAAAGGGTTTGGTAAATTTTTGAATATTTTATTTTACTAATGCATATTGGTGATGTAAAATATTGAGCTTGAGTTTGGCATATGGGTATATACATGTATCACACTTTGATTGTCTTCGTCCCTATTTGCTCCCCCTTCTGTCTCCTTTTCTCATTGGTCCACTTCCTCATTTTTAGTAGTTTGCTGTCTACTTTCCTGTTATCTCTCCTTTCCCTTACTAGGTTCTTCATGTAAGAGAAAGCGTGCAGTGTTTCACTGAATTTGGTTTCTCTTAACATTGTGGTCCTGTTCTATCCATTTTCCTCTAAGTGACAAGCTCTTGGTCTTCTTTATGGCTGAATAACATTTCTGCATTTTAACTATTTGAGTTGTGCTGCTTTAACATGGGTATACAGGAATCACTA